CTATAAAACCTAATATAAAGTAAGTGTAAACATGAAACAAAAGCTTCACAAAGTACTTATTCTTACTGCATGTTGTTCTCTGAATACATTCTATTTAGACTAATCTTGATTTTAAAAAAATGCTGTCACAGTCCAGGAACTGATCCTCTAATAAGTTGTATCCACAGTGGTGAAAACACAATTTAATGTTTGTTGTGTTTTTGTTTCTAATATGTTGCCTTATACATTCCAAAGCAGATTCTGTAGAAATGTGGCAGATAATGCAGCTTCAGGTTCTCAACAAACAAAAAGAGAGACAACTGACAGCTTAGTGGCATCAAGCTAAAACGACATGTGAGCGTCAGATTCGGTAATCTGAGAACCACCAAGCTCCGGATGATCAGGTGGTGAGACAAAAGCATCTGGGCTTTGGTGCCTTCTGAACTGCAACAAGTGGACATCTTGTTTCCGATAAACCATTAATTGTCCAGTTTTTGGTGGTACTGGGGTTATGAACTCGAGGGCCTCATGCTTGCTAGGAAGGTGTGCCAAGCACAATTGAGCGCCGGTTTTCAAGCCCATATTTAAAAAATTTTTTTTTATTTTCTGAGTTTCTTAATTTCCAGTAACCCTGTAACTTGGTCAGAGGAACTATAGTGAGTCAGATAGAGCAAAATACCAACCCAGGACTCTGAGTCCTGCTTTGGATTATTTCCCAGTATGTTTCGCCCGAGAACACAAAGTATTTTACATTTTTCTTGTTTTTTCTCTTTTCTTCTTTCTCTTTACTTCAATTCCATGCTTCTCTCTCTATCTGGCTGTAGAATCAATGAACATTACTTACCTTGCTGACTGCATTCTCACCTAAAAAGAAAGTTGATGCCTCTTGTCTTTACCTTGGAATGAAATATACTCATTCCCCTAGTGAAACTTTCGTTTTAGTTTGCAATCAAAGTTTCTGGCCTGCAAATTAGCATAAACATCTTAAGGCAATAGGCATTAGGGACCCCAAGTGCTGAGCTGCTGTTAAGTGTGCCAAAGAGAAAATCCTGCCATCTCCGTGTAATGGCCTAGAGGAAATACAGCTTCAAATATATTTGCTTTACTCCTGTGAACTCAGATAAGTTTTGGTCAGATGTTAAACCTTTATTTGTAGAATAATTTTGTGACTAAACTGCATTTTTCATTTAAATTTTAATTGATCAAGTGAAACTCTTTTTCTATAATGCTCATTAGAGAAATAATATTTGAGAGAGAATTTTGTTGAGCAAACATTACACACTAAGTTTGAATTAAGAGTGCCATTGACAATTTGTTTATGTGCAGGTAAGCTCAGTTCTCAGATACTATTTTTTCTTTTCAGACCACATGTCCTCCCTTTGTAGTCCGGCCTGGTCTCAAACTTAATGTTGTTCCTAAACCCTCAGTCTCCCAGTACTGGGATTACAGGCTTGTACTGGCCCCAACCTACGTTGGCATACTCAGATACTTTTGAGATTAAGTTTTGCTATTTAGAATTCTCAGGTTAAATGCTGAATTATTAGGGACTTCTCTCTTTTAACCCCAGAAGGGAATACAATAAAAATTAAAGTTAGTGATTTTGCTTCTCTGTAATAGTTTTGGTATCAAAATTATTACTTTTTTTGTAGTTGTTGAGTACTGGGAATTTTGAACTCGGGCCTTGAAACTTGCTAGGCAAGGTGTTCTACCACTTGGTGGATAATGACGGTTTGAAAAACTCAGGGACCTTGAACTGTTAACAAGCCACTCTGCACTTGAGCCACACCATTAGTCCTTTATTAAAGTCATTTTTTCTGGTTTTCTCTAACTCAACCCTTTTTCTGGTTTTTCTCTAAGTCAAATACGTTATTCTTTGTTCCTGAAATTGAATTTAATTCAGCAATACTTTAATACATGATAAAGACCTATAGGGATTGCAAATAATTAGATCCTTTCTACATGGCAATTATTAATTTATAACAAATATTTCAATGCCATAGATGAAAGGTGGTTTGACACTTGCACCTTCGAGAAATCGCCGAAACTCTTTCAGAATGGAAAAGAGAGGGAGATCCAGCTTGAAAGCACAAATAAAAAGCATGGAACCCCAAATTCAAGCAATTAAAAGTCAATGAAGAAAAGTAAATCTTTTTAACTTTATGGTACAAAGTTTCTTAAGATGAAAAGTTTATTTAATACACTTTTGGTAAGGATAGGATAAATTTGGAAGAAGTTTTTTATCTCCTCCACCATAAACGCCCTAGTGTCTTACTGTGGGAGAGGGTGGTGCACCTGTGCCTGGGGTCATCCTTCCAGACCTTCTGGAGGAGGCCTCAAGCTAACCTCTGCTCATTGTTTCATCCCAGTTTTTGTTTGACATCTCCATTCCGAAGGTTTGACACCTTATTTGCAATTAGGTCTCTTAACCTTGTCTCTAGTCCGTAGCCCTTCCGCAAAATTCTCTTAGGGCCATCTGAGTAATACTTTTAAAAATACGGTTCCGATTTCATCAAATTCCCTTGCTTAAAGCCTTTCAATGGTACACTTTTTTTTGTGGGACAAATGCAGTATCAAATAACCATCTGATCACTTGGCTATTCTTAACTCTTCTCAAACTCACTAGTCTTGTTTGATCATACTTGTGTGCCTCATCCCTCTGCAGTGGGCATGCGCTGCTTGTTTAATAGGTCCTGCTTGTAGTTTTCTACTCTAAGTGATCAACCTAAATCAGGTGATCAAATTCCTATTGTGATAGACCCAGAACAGGTTTGAAGGTGTCTTGGGCTCCGTTATCCTGTAGCATCACCTCTTAAGCCAGAGCTTGGCATCCTTTTCCAATATTTTTCTTTCTTAGTCTTGCAAAATCAACTTTTCATGTTGTAAAAACAGAGTATGTCCTACAGAGCTATTTTTTTGGGGGGAAGAGAAGGTTGACTGTTGCTTTTGACATCTGGACATCTATTCCTTTAGGTTCTCCGCTTTAAAGTAGTGTACATGCTTTGATTAATGGGATAGATAGCCACTTGATTTTTAAGAAATAGTCACAGGTTTGATTACTTATCTTGGGAGAATATGGTGATTCCTGATAATTCATTGTTTTGAAGGGGAGTTTAAAAAATGAAAGCTACAGTTTAAACATGAGCTGGAATTTTGGGTAAAACCTTGTAGCTAAGTCTGAGGAATCACTTAATGAAAGAGTTTACAGTGTTGTCTCCCTAGGTGGTTCCTCATCAATCCATCAGGTCTTAGCCTTTAAAAATAAACAGTCACCTTTTTAGAAAGGAACTTTCACATTCCCTAAAGTAGCCCATACATAAGTTTCCATATTCTCAACTCTCTTTTTATCATGCCCGTATTTTCTGTACTGTTTTAATAACTCCTGAAAATGATCCTCATTTCTTTTGGTGTTTTTGTCTGTCCTCTTCCCACCAGAACCGTAGGAAGAGGCTGGACCCTTGTCTGTAACTGTCATTCTATCTTTAGGCATTCGAATCTTGCCCAGCACAGATAATCCATGTTTACTTATGGAACAAATTAGAAATTAGAAGGCGTTTTGGAATAAATGAGGTGATCTCTGGAATAGAATGGAAAACAATCTCACTTGAAACATTTAAATTTTGGGGTAATATATGTTGGATATTTTCAACCTTTTGAAAAATTGACCAAATTTATTAAATTAAGAAGTTTAAATTGTTTTATATAGTAATGGGTTATACTTTTGTAATCTTTTCTAAGTTAGATATTAATGTTTATTAAACAGAGAAGCCCAATAAATGCAAATGAAAAATGAAGGTAAGAGATATTGCTAAGTGTGTTATTGGTTCCTATTATTGCTGTAACATTTATATTCTCTTTCTTCAACAAAATTTAAAGTGCTTAAAGCAATAAAACAATTTTTTAGGAAGTTGAGATCTTGAGAGGATTCGTGATTTGAAGCCAACTTGAGGTAAAATAAAGTTAGCAAGACCCACATCTCGAATATACAAGCAAGGGTAATGGTGGTTCATGCTGTGATACAGCTACTCAGAATGACATAGTAGGAGGATCACGGTTCTGAGGATCAGCCATGGTGAAAACAAGAGAACCTGTCTTGAAAAATAATTAAAGACATAAAAGGGCTGCAGGCATGGTTCAAGTGGTAGAGCACTTGTCTTAAAGTTCAAGTCCCAGTAAGTACCAAAAATACAAAAAACAAAAACCAAAGTCCCAAATAAAATAAACAGTACGCATTGTCTGCACAGTTCTGGCGGTCAGAAGAACTGAACCCGGATATCACTGGGGGCTAAAATCAGGGTGTCAGTAAGAGCCACCTTTGCTTTCTGGAGGTTCCAGGGCAGGAATCCTATCTTCGGCTTTGCCCAGCTTTTCCTGGAGGCCAATTGCAATTTGTTGGCCTGTGCTCATTTCTATCTTTCTGATACAGCAGTTGCTGGCCACGTCTCCTTGATTCTTGACTTTTCTGGCGTTGAGTTTGCCTCATCTACAGACCCTTTGAGCGATATATTGGACCTACTTGATATACAGGACAATCTATTATTTTAAGGTATCTGGTTAGTAACTTTGATTCCATCTGCAGTCATAATTTTCTCTTGCTTTTGTAGCATAAAAGTATCATAAGGCCTTGGGGGATGTAGGAAACTAATAGAAAATCCGCTGGGGGTCATTATTTACCTACAGTAATCACGGTGCTTTCAAGTACTTTTTTTTAACAAGGGCATGGTGACACATAATCTGGTAATTCAGCTTGCTCCCAGGTTTGAGGCAAGGAGAATCACTTGAGTCCTAGGAGTTCAAAGTCAAGCCTGGACAATATGATGAGATCCTGTCTCAAACAAACAAACAACAACAACAAAGAATCTTCCCTTAACAACAGCAACAAACAACAAACCTGACCATAAAACAAAACTTGATTTTGGCAGATTTTACGCAGTTTTTTTCAAAGAAACAGTTGTAATTTTTCCTGTGACCCTAACAATTGGGATGCACACACTTTGCTCACAGGTAGTGCAAACAGCTCTGGCTCAGTGCCCAGCAGCAAGACTCCTTGCTTGGTAAACCATGGTCATGATGCCTGCGCCAAAATCACTCTTTTTCACGCTCCCGGTAACCTCTGAAATCTTAATTTTCCAGCAACCAATGGGCTTCAGTGGTTCAGCTAAGGGCGAAGTTTTAAGGAGCTTAAGGCCATAAATGGGGGAGACCCCTTCTTGCTCTGCTGTCCCATTAAAGGCCTGGCTGTTTTAGTAGTAAAGTCTCTAGAAATCATAATGTTAAAAAATGCTGTCCAATGTTGGAAATACCTGTGTTTTGTTTATTTTAGATGATCAAGAAGTCCCAGAGCACTGAAATGGCTTCTGGAAAGCTTGAAGCAGCAACTGGTCCGACCTCATCGTTCTGAATCAAACTCCAGCTTAGCCAGAGAAAGCAGCATGATAATGTTTGTTATGGGCCTCACAAAGAAGTATGAAGAGGCAAGTATCATCCTTACAGAAGAATTTGATGCCTGCAAGTTAAAACTGCACTTAAGGAACAGGTTTGGGATGATTTCGAATGAGTAACTGTTTGTTAACCAAGTAAAGCTGGTTATATTTTGTAAATGATAGTATGTGGTTTCTCACATAAAATCTTGGAATATTTATGGTAGCTGTTAGATTGCAAGTAAAAACTTGAAAAGCGCGTTAATTTTTTTCTATGAATATACTTGAACCTCTAAATTTTTGGAAACCTTCTTATAGGACCTGAATTATTACTATTTTTCAGTGCTCACATTACTAGTCATTTATTTGTACAGTATTTATACATATCACATCGTTGTCTAGAGTAAATTGCGACTGAAAGGAGCGCTAGAGGCTGGAAAAGAACTGAAAGGTTGTTTCTGGGGGCTATCTGGGTCTCCTGGCATCCTGCAACTACCTATCATAAAGACTATCAAAAAGAAATAGTTTTGGAAGATATGAGTTAATTTTGAGAGCAAGTTTTGATCAATGTCTTATCTGAAAATCTGGAAATTCAGTATGGCACTAATGTGGCTGGACATGACCTCAAGTGGGAAATTCCACACTTATCCTCATTGATGGGTCATGGTCCAAATACATGTGTATTAAAAGAAAAATTATATAAAATTGCTCAGACTATGTGTACAATGCACATATGAAGTATAAAGTGAATTTCATGTTTAGCTTGAGTCTGTTCCCAAGATACCTCATTAGTTGTACATAAGTTTCCAGAAACTGTGTTCTGGGTTAGGCCGGTACTCAACCTAATTAAAAATAGTGTATAAAATAGAAATGAAAGTCTGCACTCCTTAAATGGATTTGAAGCTGAGCATATTTAGCATATGTTTTGTTTCGAACGGAACAAAATATTATGAGTTGAGGGTGAGTCAAGTGTTGGCTTTACTTGTGCTCCAAAACCCTTGTAATCATTTCAATGAATATAATTTCCAGAATACATTTTTTCAAAATGTTATTTTCAGAACTAATTTTAGCCAAGGGAAGAGGAGGAAGAAAATAAGATGAGAGTGTGAAAGTCCTATCAATACCTAAAATTCATTGTGATTTGGGTTTGTTATTTCTGAACTTCTAGCTTAAACTCCCTAAAATTTCCTGTGCCTTAGGTAGAAATGATTACATTATTGGTCCAATAATTGGCTTACCATTTTATTTTCATATGTATTTATGAGTTTTCATTAGATTTTTTAATTAGGTTTTTTGTTCCTTTTATGTAGAAAAATATGTGAATTTGGTAATTGGTGGGAGGATATGCCAATGGTGAGGAAAGATAAAAGGTTATAACCAAATTATGGAAAAGTCTACTTTATAACATATTTAAACAAATAGAATTTGAGATACAGTTTTTATAGTTTTTTATTATTTTTTTAGTTTTCAAAATGTTGAGTGTGAGTCAACAAGGAGAGGTATGAGGATAGGTTAAGACACCAAAAAAACTAGATAGCATTTGTTGCCCTCAACACAGAAAACTAATGCAGATACTTTAAAGTGACCAAGGCCAATAAGGAAGGGGACCAGGAACTAGAGAAAAGGTTAGTTTCAAGAAGAATTAACCTAGAAGGTAACACACACCACAGGAAAAATTTAATGTTGAGTCAACTCCCTGTATACTTATCCTTATCTCAACTAGCAAAAAACCCTTCGTCCTTCCTATTAATTGCTATATACTCCTCTATTCAACAAAATTAGAGATTAAGGGCCAAAATAGTTTTTCTGCTGGGTATTGAGGGGGTGGAAGGGAGAGGGAGTGGGGGGGGGGGGTAAGGGGAGGCGGGGTGGAGGAAAGGAAGGAAGAAAATGACCCAAACATTGTATGCAACATATGAATAAAAAAAAATGTTGCTTATATTAACTTGGCCCAACAGAAGGTAGTAGATTAAAGTGGACAGTGGTCCTCTGGGTGGCAAGGGAAGAGTGGAGTCTGGCTGCTCTGCCATGCTGGGTACTTGAAGGGCTTTTGATTCTCTGCATGACTTTTGACCAGAATTCATTGGAATTTCTCCTGTGTTCGAACCCTGTGCCTCTGAATTCTGTATTTTACTTCCTGCCCTAGCCCATTCCCAAAAATCCTAACCTTTGCTTCAAAAGAAACTTTAAAGTAGAAGATAGAGCAAAGTCTTGAATTCGGTGCTGAGAAGCTTCTGA